ATTCTTTACATGACAAAAATAAATGAATAAACACATATTGTTGGGAATGTAAGAGGAATAAAATTATTCATAGCCCTGCAGTTGCTGCTTTAATAGAATTGTATTTCTTGACTTCAGTGGCAAGGGTAATTTTGTTTACAACAATTTATTAAGCATGCATATCAAGCTGTGTTGTGGGTTTTCTCCTTTTCTGCAAGATTACATCAAAAATAAACAATCATTGATTTCATTGATTAATAGTGCCTTTGGCATCTTTAAATTTAAAATGGTATGCTTAGTTTGTAAGAATAATTTTGAACTAGACTGCAATGGAAAATGTAAAAGAAATTTCTTCTCAAACATTAGCCCATTGTTTCGTATTTATGAATCAGTTCAAATAGGTGATTTAAAGTGCAAATTTTCCTTCTCAAGCAAACTGATGTTATTAATAATAATCTTGAATGCTTTCATTATTTTGAAAACTTGTTTGATCTATCTGCAGTCTGCAGTATACCTTTAGTCCTGACCATTTTCTGAGCACCAAACATCATCAATTCCAATTGTAGATCAGGTTACTTTCCAGATCAACATGTTGAAAACTGTATTAACCATAATTATATGTAGCAGACAGCATTAAAGTTTAATTGTACAATCTGTACATGTAATATTAACCCTTAAACTCTCAAAATGTTTAATATGTAACTTCTATTTGTAACATCCATATTTATAATCATTATTACTTGGATATAGAACATTGCTTGGGCAAATTATTTTTCAACTAAAACTGTGGTTTTTTTTTTTCTTCTGTTCTCTATTGTTGAGCTCAGTGACATGTCTGGCTAGGACAGATCAAAAACTACAGTACATGCATTAAATTAAAGTTTGGTTGTCATTCACTTTCATTCTAAAGCACATCATGACTTGTTATGACAGGTTCAGTACACATCCAAAAGTCAAGAAAAATACGATCTTTCCACAATTTACAGCCACAAAGTCAATTTTATGTGTACATGCCAACTAAAAACAACATTTCGATTTGATATTTTCATTATTATCTTTTTTCTCTCTTTTATTTGATCGATTGAATAATTGGATTCCTTAGTATAATTCCGAACGCACAGTGCCTGTATCACTCGGGCACTCATAAGGTTTCAAATCAGACACATAACGCGTTTGGCGATACCGTAAATAACAAAAAACTGAGAGTAAACGTACAGTTTAAATTACATTACCCACGCAAACACCTTTCCTAATTGCGGCTTCGACATTCAGCGATTCCAGATATTTTCATTACCTCAACAACGAAGATGTTGAAGCTTCGAATTGATCGGCGCATTACCCAGTCTGAGGTGCAATTTTGTATGAAACAACTAGTGATTTCACTCAAGAAAATTAAACGAATACTAAACATTAACTAACTAGTTTCTGAATTCATTTACGAGAAAAAATCAAAATATATTTGAAAACATTTTGACGACGTTTAGAACATACTGGGCGCGACTATCTCATTAAAGGTAAAGGTTTCTACATATGTTATAGTAATCTAAATCAAATTATTCCGTTTTTTCCCTTTTTCACTGTTTGTACATATTTCAAAGCAATAGATGCCAGCTGAATAACGGGGGCGTAACATATACAGAGAAGATGACGGATTTTTTCCATGTAACTCGCAAGGAATAAATGTATTTTAGATATGACTAGAGCACATTGTAATTATTACAATTGGTAAGCCCCGGCTCAAAATGTTTCCGACCAAAATGCTTCGATTGTTATGTAAAAAAATTTTTCGTTGTCTGTCATACAAAAACGTATATCCAAAAGATCAATATTGGCTAAAAAAATGACGGTAAACATTTTTCACTGGAAATTACACTTTTAATTCAGTGGATATTAGAACCTTAACATCATTTTAAGAGGGGAATCCTGCAAATGTGATTTCTGAGGGTCATATATAGTAACTACCCTTGTGGCAGTTGAATCGAAACTCTCCCATCAGAAACGAGAAATTTTCTAATATTTAGAAAAAAAAAAAAACAACAACAAAGAAAATTCCGGCAGTTCTTGTACCCACGGCCGTTCTACACATTTCCATATTCTCGTTTTTATATTTGTTGTTTTGTTTTATTTTCTTTCCTAACAGTCCAAAAACATGTAGAACTTTTTAAAGGTACTTTGCCAATTTCTACTGATATCTGCCAGAATAGAAGTGGTTTGGTTGCGTACGTGTTCGATGACCTCAGGTTTCTGTGATCATTGTTTACCCACCTAAATTCAGGCTGATGAGATTAGTTGAGTTGTTATAACCAGTTTCTCACCGGTAGGATTCTGGCAAACGGGGTAACTGGTAGAATTGGAAGAATATTGATGTCGTGTTTGCATTTTTGGTGCAATGAACGAGTCAGTTGCCAAAGCTGCTTTCTTATGGAGTGGTGACTCTCCATGCCTCGTAAGAAGAGGCTAGATTGAAACATCCTTTAGTGAGATTGAGGCTCAATTGCGCAAATGGAGCTCTTTTTTTTTTCTGACGCCAGAGAACAGAATTTGTCTGAGAAAGTTGAATCCTTTTTCAGATAGCTGACTCATTTTCTCATTCTTGTGAGATCTGTTGTGGTAGGGTGGCGCCAGTAATTTGGATTGACGATTGTCTAAATTGCGAATGACGCTTCTGTGACTCATGCCAGTCGTGTCATAAAATTTTTTCTGCTTTCCCAGCCCTTTCTTTCTTGGTTCTATTGGCATTGCTTCAACAAAACTGTTTTTACCCCCCCCCCCCAAAAAAAAAAAACCAAAAAATTTCGTACTATCAACTGAGTTGCTATCGTGGATTGGCCTCCGTAAGGAGTTTCGAAGCTGAGGTTTCATAGCGTTAGCCCTTCGGCAGAAAGAAGCTTTGCATTAGAGATGGAGGATAAGTTTAACTGAGCTGATTGACAGGTTATGAAAATTTTATGGCCCTATGAATCTTTCTGTACATGTTATGAGAAATATAAGTTGAAAGTTGGGACAAACTTATCCAATATTCTTAAAAACGGCCGTATTTTATGAAATGCTTTTTTATCAAGAGGGTTATCTTATAGATCACTTTTGTAATTACTGAACTGTAAAGCTGTTTATTTTCCTTGGGATATTCATAGCTTCTGTTGGACTTTTATCATTCTTGGATTTGTTCAGGATTTAGGGCTGGTTTTTCAGTCCTGGTCTTTCCACTGCTTCGCTTTAGTTGTTTATCGTGTCCAGAAATTTAAATTCATCGCTGTTATGATATTTTTTTCATGCTTTATTGAGTAAATGTTTATGCTTGTGTTCTAAGACAACTTGTTTAACCCGGCAGGAGGGGTCACATGGCACAGTTGTCGAGCTATGTAGAAGGAAGGCACTATAAACATCGGACCACATCTTAGAAATGCTGAACCGAGTGATGGTTACAGTACCAACCAGAAATTAGACAGTCGCGTGAATGCTCAGTGCAGAAGCAAGTAAAATGTGTATTTAAGAGCTAAACGCAGTCTATCAGCGGTTCAGGAAATTCTTAAAGTACAGCTCAAGACAGGAATCTATGCCCTTAATGGGTTTGTTTAATCATTAAAGAAGAACAAAGAAAATCATTTCCGGTGTCTGTCCCGTCAATTGTCTCGCCTAAAGTTTCACACAATCTATATGCAGTAGGAGTTTACTGCTCCTGGAATGGCTTACAGTTGATACATGAGAAGAAAAAGTTGACTTGCTGCATGATGTAAGAATAGCTAAGGCGTTGCGTAAACAGGATATGGAGCATCGTAATGTATCATGGATACTTGATCAGGATGGTGAAGAGGAGCACTGGATAGAAATGATTCGTGAGACACGCGGGCAAAATTTTGTAGTAGACTGTGAATTGACAATAAAGGTGTTTGACAACAGTGGCAACTTTGAGAAATGTTTCAGATTTCAAGTTCTTCTCGCTGACAATAAAAATATAAGAAACAGTCTTAAAAATCGCGGTTGTCTGGAGTACATTCCGTACATGGTCTTTATGTTAATTATATACACTTCAATGGCAGAAACGTGCCTAAGACACAAATTATTCATAACAAAAGATAGGTTATGTTCCGTAGCCTTCCTTTGCCAACTGTAAAGTGCAAAGCCGGACGATATCGATATCTGTTTGATTAAGCGTATGGGTTTGAGTCTATAAATAACACCTCAGTCTTTCACCCTCTGAGTTCACACGGCTCGCTTAATTTTCAACCCAAGCTGTGAGAAGGGATTCCAATCATTCTAGATGTAAACTACATCGTTTGTGTGTAGGGCCATAACCCGATAAATAACCAAATACTAATTTGGTTGAAGGAACCCGTTCCAGCTCCAGTTGTGGTATAACAGTTATTTACGGGTAACAAGGTAAAGAAAGAACTCAGTATAAGTAAAACACATTACAGCCGGGAACAAAGCCAACAACTAAGGAAGATTCATGAACAATAATCATCCTTTTTTTCCTCGGGCATCAAACAATATTTCCATTGAGAAGTCGAATGATGCCGTGACGTGATTGAAAATTCAATGATAACGAGTAACATTTTATTAAACAAAACAAAGGGAGCTTTAGATTGTACTTTTACTGATACCTGTCAGGGATTTCTAATGCTCACATTATCATTCGTCGACGAAAGGAAGAACTTAAGACCACAACAGCCTATTTGAGTGTCTGCAATGAGCAACATAACTTTTCAAAGACAAATATGTTTTTCCAACAAAGGATTATTCGAAGAGGCTATAAATCTTCACGCCATCATTCCTTGATTGCTTTCTCTTTGTTATGCTTTGTTTTGTCTTATTTTCTGGGCTGATAGCTATTATCATTCCAAAATTGCAATCAGTCTTGAAATTTTGCCATCATTTGTTTTTTCTTTTGCTTTCATCGACGCTTGAGGAGTTACTTATTGTGAAGATTCACTGAAAAAAGCTCCCAATTTCTACTGATTACTAAGTTCCAAGCTGCCATTATGTCTGCGATCATAACAGCAGTTTTCAAAGCGACTGTTGGATGGCTTGTGGATAAAAGCAGAGATGAGGCATCAAAGAAGCTTAAAGATGGCGACGTAACAGATCAACAGTTTCGCGGCATCATCATGCGAGAAATCGATGACATGAAGTCCAAGCTGGATGGATTATCAAGGAAAGATTTATTAGCGAGTATTGGATTCTTTAGAGAAGGAATCGAGTTGCTGTATGAAGTATTTGAAGAGAAAAGGTCGAGGAGTGAGTATGGCGCGGATACAGCGCAAGCGGCTTGTGCGGAAGCTGTGTCGCTCGCTGAAGGAATGAAACACTTGGAGCTTACTGAATCTGCCACAAGAAAGCTCTCCCATGCAAAGAAGAGATTCGAACGTGCTCGTGAAAGAGCAACAGATGCCTTTTCTAATGAAGCGCTATCACCAAATGACCGCATCTTAGCAATGCAATGAGAAATTCCGGGAGCTCTTGTACCCACGGCTGTTCTGCACATTTCCATAATCTCGTTTTTATATTTGTTATTTCGTTTTATTTTTTTTCCTAACAGTCCAAAAATATGCTGAATTTTTTAAAGGTACTTTGCCAATTTCTTCTGATATCTTCCAGAATAGGAGTGGTTTGGTTGAGTACGTGTGCGTTGACTACAGGTTTCAGAAATCATTGTTTCATGACCCACCTAAGTTCAGGCTGATGAGAGTAGTTGAGTTGTTACAAGCAGTTTCTCACAGGGAAGATACTGGCAAGCGAGGTACCTGGTAGAATTGAAAGAATATCGCTCTCGTGTTTGCCTTTTTGGTGCAATGAACGTGTCAGTTGCCCGAAGCTGCTTTCTTATGGAGTGGTGACCCTCCATGCCTCGTAAGTAGAGGCTATAGATTGAAACATCCTTTCGTGAATTAAGGCTCAATTGCGAAAATGGAGCTCTTTTTCTCTGACGCCAGAGGGCAGAATAATTCGTTTGGGAACGATAAATCCTTTTCAAATAGCTGACTCATTTCCTCATTCTTGTGAGATCTTCTGTGGTAGGGTGACGCCAGTAATTTGGATTGACGATAGTCTAAATCGCGAGTTTCTTATCGTTTTATTTCATGTCCTAACGATTTTTTCTGCTTTCTCAACCCTTTCTCTCTTGGCTCTATTGCATTGCTATATTCGACAAAACCGATTTGACCCCCCTCCTCCCCCCAAAAGAAATCAGTCTTATGAATCAACGAAGCTATCTCTCGAGCCGGAGTTCTTGAGTCTTTTTTCTCTTTTTATTTTTTGCTTCACTATTTCCCTCCCTTCACACCTTAAGTACGTTTTTGGAGACCTCGAGGAAATTCGGTGACATGCTTAGTTCGCTGCTTTGTGCGAGAGGGTAATTTGATATGATCAACTGAGTTTATATCGTAAATTGGCCACCGTAAAAAGTTTCAAAGCTGACGTTTCAAGCGTTAGCCCTTCGGCAGAACGAAGCTTTGTACTAGAGATGGAGGAAAAGTGTAACTGAGGTGACTGATAGGCTATAAAAAATTTTATGACCCTGTGCATCTTTCTGTTATGAGAAATAAAAGTTTAAAGTTAGGACAAACTTATCCGATATTCTTAAAAATTGCAGTAATTTACGTAATGAATTTTCATTCAGAGGGTTATCTCATGGATCAAGTTTGTAACTACTGAAGTGTACAGCTGTTTATTTTCCTTGTGATATTCATAGCCTCAGTCTTTTGGACTGTTACCATTCTTGGATATGTTCAGGATTTAGAACTGGTTTTGCCCTGGCCTTTCCACTGCTTTGCTGTGGTTATTTATCGTGTGGAGAAATTTGAATTTATTGGTGTTGTGATATTTATTTTATGGTTTCCTGAGTAAATGTTTATACTTGTGTTCTAAGACTTCTTTAACCAAGAGGAGTGACATGACACAGTTGTCGAGCTATGTAGAAGGAAGGGACTATCAACATCTGATCGCATCTTAGAAATGCTAAACCGAGTGATGGTTACAGTACTAAACACGTTAGACAGTCCCACGGATCCTGTAGTAGCAAATAAAGTGTGTATTTAAGAGCTAAATGCGGTCTGCAGTGGCATGAAAGACCAGGAGAAAACCAGTTCTAAATCCTGAACCTATCCAAGAATGATAACGGTCCATGCAGAAGCTATGAATATCACAAGTTTTTCGATTCAGAACAAGAAACTCACGGTTTTTTCCCTATCCTGCTATATACTAGTTGATGTTATGAAGACCAATAACTATTGTTGATTGGTTAAACTTACTGTAAAAAGAGACACGCTGCTGAAAAAGTGAAGTGATCTGTGTTGTGTTTTGCTCTGAGTGGCTCGCCTTGCATTTTCACTTTCTAATCATCTGATTACACTGCACTACTTAATGATGCATAAAACACTCAAAAGAAGCTAACATCAGTGACGTGCATGAGAGACATATTACTTCAAAACAAAATACAGGTTATGTTCCGTAGCCTTCCTTTGTCAACTGTATAGCGCAAAGCTTGGCGATAACGATATCTGGTTTGAAATCATAATTTAGCGTATGGGTTTGAGTCTATAAATATAAACTCAGTCTTTCACCCTCTGAGTTCACACGGCTCGCTTTTCAACCCATGCTGTGAGAAGGGATTCCAAAGATTCTTGAAGTCAATTAGATTGTACGTGTGTGGGGCCGAAACCCGATAAGTAGCCAAATACTAATTTTGTTGAAGGAACCCGTTCCAGCTCCAGTTGTGGTATAACAGTTATTTACGGGTAACAAGGTAAAGAAAGAACTCAGTATAAGTAAAACACATTACAGCTGAGAACAAAGCGAACAACTAAGGAAGATTCATGAACAATTATCATCCTTTTTTTCCTCGGGCATCAAACAACATTTCCATTGAGAAGTCGTATGATGCCGTGACGTGATGGAAAATTTCAATGATAACGAGTAACATTTTATTAAACAAACAAAGAGAGCTTTAGATTGTACTTTTACTGATACCTGCTCACATTATCATTCGTTGGCGAAAGGAAGAACTTAAAACCACAACAGCCTATTTGAGTGTCTGCAATGAGTCTTTTCAAAGACAAATATGTTTTTCCAACAAAGGATTATTTGAAGAGGCTATAAATCTTCACGCCATCATTCCTTGATTGCTTTCTCTTTGTTATGCTTTGTTTTGTCTTATTTTCTGGGCTGATAGCTATTATCATTCCAAAATTGAAATCATTCTTGAAATTTTGCCATCATTTGTTTTTTCTTTTGCTTTCATCGACGCTTGAGGAGTTACTTATTGTGAAGATTCACTGAAAAAAGCTCCCAATTTCTACTGATTACTAAGTTCCAAGCTGCCATTATGTCTGCGATCATAACAGCAGTTTTCAAAGCGACTATTGGATGGCTTGTGGATAAAGGCAGAGATGAGGCAGCAAAAAAGCTTAAAGATGGCGACGTAACAGATCAACAGTTTCGCGGCATCATCATGCGAGAAATCGATGACATGAAGTCCAAGCTGGATGGATTATCAAGGAAAGATTTATTAGCGAGTATTGGATTCTTTAGAGAAGGAATCGAGTTGCTGTATGAAGTATTTGAAGAGAAAAGGTCGAGGAGTGAGTATGGCGCGGATACAGCACAAGCGGCTTGTGCGGAAGCTGTGTCACTCGCTGAAAGAATGAAACACTTGGAGCTTACTGAATATGCCACAAGACAGCTTACCAATGCAAAGAAGAGATTCGAACGTGCTCGTGAAATGGCGACAATTGCTTTTTCAAATGAAGCGTTATCAACAAGTGACCGCATCGTAGCAATGCAGTACCGAGTCATGGCAACAGTATTAGAAACAATAGACCATCCCGCAGATGCTGTAGCACCATGTAAAGTGTGCATCGAAGAGCTAAACGGTCTGCCCGTGGTTCAGCGAAGTTTACAAGAACAGCTCAGGACAGGTATCAAGGCAGTGAAGAGTTTATTTAACAAAGAAGAAAGACAGAAAGTTATTTCCGGTGTCTGTCTTGTCAACCGCGTCGCCTACGATATCACACAAACAGTACACGTTAAAGAACCATTTACAAATGAACCATTTGCAAAAGAATTATTACCACCATTTCCCATGGTTGATACAGGGAAGGAGAAAGTTGATCTGTTGCGAGACCACAGAGTAACAAAAATACTTTGTAAACAGGGTATGGGGAACTGTAGTGTATTAATAAGGACACTTGGTGATGAAGGCGAAAAGGTGCAGGGGTTAACTTACCCGCTTGATATCGCTACCAACTCAAGCGGGGAATATATTGTAGCGGACCATCACTCGACAATCAAGGTGTATGACAGCAGTGGCAGGTTTTTGCAATGTTTCAGACTTATTGATGACAGCGGTATAAAGCTATTTAACCTGTCGGTTAAGCTAACCACGGACATGAATGACAACATTTATGTTATGGTCCCAGAAAAGAGTGACGAGGGCCCATGCTGGATTTTTAAGTTTAACAAAACCGCTGATTATCATCACAAGTTTCGCGTCAGGATAATGAGCTATAACTTTAACTCGTGTAAACTGTCAGTCAGTGATAGTGGTACAGTGATGGTACTGAAGATTAATTGGGAAAGGAAACATTGTGTGAATCTTGTGGATGTTTATGAGAATGATGGTCAGTTTGTTTGCAGTTTTGGAGAACAAATCTTGACGAGACCCCGCGACATCACCACTGTAAGTGATGGCAGAGTTATGGTGGTACAAGAGCATCCGTCACGTGTTCACATATTTAGCGAACAAGGTGACCATCTAAACACGTTTGATCTGCAAATATCTATGGTGTATTCAAGAATTGCATTTCACAAGGCTAGTCAACATGTCGTGGTGGCCGGTTGTAAGAACAATGATACAGACATCTTGCATATAGAAATTTACACCAAAGATGGTGAGTTTGTGCGAAGTACTCCTGTCAATATGGGACAGTCCCTTCCTCTGCTGGGGATGGTAGTGACCACTAAGGGCCGCATTGCAGTAGCAACTCGGCTTGAACCTTTAAGACGCAAAGTAATCGTCATTTAAAATCACGCTAAGTTTACAGACTAAGTCTTTTGCATCTATAATCATGCAATTAACATAATAAGCACAATGCCTTTATTTTCCACACGGCATGATGTAACTTAAGACTAAAGTTTTATGCCCAAAATGAAAGCTTTTATAGCCTCAATTTATTAACTTTTGATGCGTTGGAATTTAATTGAACTAATGCGATGCAGTTTTGAAATTTTCTTGGAAAATAAGTATTACATCATTGATCATGTAGGAACTTTATTGATGGCTCCAGGCTTAGCTACAGATATGATGCCTATTTGGAAACCAGCTTGTGGTCCTCACCTCTTTAGATGCGTTAATAAAATTGCACATTGTAACTGCCATATATCTCTTTGTAATGCGAGGAAATATTATTTTATGTCATGGCAAGGTGACACGTCTGACACAGCGATAAGCTGAGATATTTATTTATGATTCTCATTACCTATTTACTGGATAATGTATGGGTATTTTGAAGAGAAGTTGAACTGTTGTGATTCTCTTGTGTGTGCGAAAGGGGTTGATATCCAGTCTCTCTCACACGTATTTGCGTCATTTTATATTTTAATCATGGTGTTCCTATTACGTCTTTTCAGCGTAATGCGTGGACAGTTACTGCTGTGATAGGCCCAATGTTTGCTTAAGTAGTTTTGAGCACTTGTGCTTTTCTTGTCGAATGTTTCATTAATCAAATTTAGTATTTTATTTGGCTGTTGTTTCCTGCGTGACAGTTTTCAAACAAGACCAATTTCTGCGGTGAACTTTGTTGCGTGATAAATTTAGATGGTTAAAAAATGTGTATAATCATCCTCGGAGATCAAATTAAACTTGTCAGTAAATGCTAATTAATTCATAGCTAGCGGAGCACGCGGGTGAGATGATGTGAATCCTTTGCTCTGCTTGGCTACTCAAGCAGGCAAAATGGAACTCTTGCCCGCAAACGAAAGTTGTAAATTTTTTGTATTTAGTGGAAACTGAAATATAATCAGTAAATCTTACCACTTGCTGAATTTGTTCTTGTTTTCCCTTATGTTCTTCTTTTTTGTATGATTTCGTTGAACTTCGAGTACGACTCTTGCCCCACAGCTTCCAACTTCCCGTACCACGTTCTCCCATCTCTAGTTCTTTTGCAACCCTTTGTTTTCCAACTCCTGCCCCTCTTTGTATTACTGCCGTCTTCGGTTTGATTAAAAGGACTATTAATTAAACTAATTGCATATCCATCATGTTTAATTTTCGCTCTTCGCCGGAAGAAGCTGTAGTCGTGAGCTATATGAAAGCTGGCTCCAACGAATGATTCAAGTCACTACTCATCCATTGTAAAACCGTTTGCATTTTTGAGCGTTCAGTTTAATTAAGCGCTGATAGACTGTTATTGCACATTATTGTTCGGCTGGTCTCCAAGTCACATTTTAAAACTACCCGGATTGCTTCAAGAAATTGAAATCTTTTTAAAACCTCTGCAGAAAGGTTGAAAAGTTGTTCATACATTCTATGATACATTTATTCACTAGCGGTATGATTCAGCTATGTGATTGTGTGATTTTAACAGAAGCATTTGCTGAAACGAGGACTGATTTTTCATTGCCACATACAAAAATACTGAGGCTGATCAATATGACCTTGGACGACGTTGGACCTAACTCACTTTGCTCGCTGAATAATTCCGACTGCTGACACTGTTTACATGTTTCATGTTCTCTCGTTTATGACGTATGACGCAACCGACTTCGAGAGGTATCTAATTACACCGGCTGATTCGTTTCCTCACGAATGAAATCATCTTTAATGCTTCGGTGGACCTTAAATGGAATTAAGTGGAAAAAAAATCCTTTGCTGGGTACAGGTTTTTCACTGGTTGATGAGCAGTAGGAAACAACAAAGAGTGCCTTTTAAATTTCTCTCAATTTTCCCTCTTAAGCTTCTGCCCTCTGTTCTCCGAGCTCGTTCCTCTTTGTTACCCTCCACGTTTGTGGTGCAAGGCACTCTTACCCAATAAGTATTGCGCTGGAACTCGTGTTGTCCGTGAAGAACTCCCATCGAACGAACGAGGGTTGAAAGTGTTGAAGAAACATGGAATTTCCAGCAACCACCGAGCAAGACAAGTAAACGAGGATGATTTTCGTCGTTTCGATGTAATGTTGGCCTTTGATAAGGGCAATGTACGAGGTCTTAATGAAACTTTTAAGCCAAATGACGGCACTGCGCGATTACACGTTTTCATAAAATAGAACAACAGTTAACTCGGCGATATACGAGACAGCAGCGTGCTGTCCACTTACACAGGCATGACGTGTGAACTTTCCATTAGTGCTCAAATCGAGCTGGTGATAACCGATTACGTTCGAGAATTTTGTTGTAGTTTTGATTATGGATGAAATAACTGGTAATTACTCGCAAGAAAGTAAACCAACACTATACATTAACTTTACTAGTTTCTTAATTCCTTTACATGAAAAAAATTGTTGCAATCAAAATCTATTTGAAAGCATTTTGACGACGTTTAGAACATACTTCGCGCGACCATCTCATTAAAGGTAAAAGGTTTCTACATATGTTATGGTAATCTAAATCTAATAATATATATTTTTTTCTTTTTTATCGTTTTTACATAATTCAAAGCAACAGATGCCAGCTGAATAACTGACCCGTAACATATGCAGAGAAGATGACGGACTTTTTTCATGTAACTCGCAAGGAATAATTGTAATTTAGGTATTACTAGACGACTTTGAAATCGCAACCTCTAAGCCCCGGCTCAAAATGTTTTCAACCGAAATGATTGTTATGTAAAAAGGTTATTAGCTGTCTGTCATACAAAAACGCCGTATATCAAAAAGATCAATATTGGCTAAAAAAATGACGGTAAACATTTTCACCGGAAGTTAGAGTTTTAATTCAGTGGATCTTAAAACCTTAACATCATTTTAAGCGGGGATTCCTAGAAATGTGATTTCTGAGAGTCATATATAGTAGCTACCCTTGTGGCAGCTGAATCGAAATTCTCCCGACAGAAACAAGAACTTTCAAATATTTAGGGAAAAAAATACTATTTGAGGAATGAGAAATTCCGGGAGCTCTTGTACCCACGGCTGTTCTGCACATTTCCATAATCTCGTTTTTATATTTGTTGTTTCGTTTTATTTTTTTTTCCTAACAGTCCAAAAACATGCTGAATTTTTTAAAGGTACTTTGCCAATTTCTTCTGATATCTGCCAGAATAGGAGTGGTTTGGTTGAGTACGTGTGCGTTGACTACAGGTTTCAGAAATCATTGTTTCATGACCCACCTAAGTTCAGGCTGATGAGAGTAGTTGAGTTGTTACAAGCAGTTTCTCACAGGGAAGATACTGGCAAGCGAGGTGCCTGGTAGAATTGAAAGAATATCGCTCTCGTGTTTGCCTTTTTGGTGCAATGAACGTGTCAGTTGCCCGAAGCTGCTTTCTTATGGAGTGGTGACCCTCCATGCCTCGTAAGTAGAGGCTATAGATTGAAACATCCCTTCGTGAACTAAGGCTCAATTGCGAAATTGGAGCTCTTTTTTTCTGACACCAGAGGGCAGAATAATTCGTTTGGGAACGATAAATCCTTTTCAAATAGCTGACTCATTTCCTCATTCTTGTGAGATCTTCTGTGGTAGGGTGACGCCAGTAATTTGGATTGACGATAGTCTAAATCGCGAATGACGCTTCAGTGACTCATGCCAGAGTTTCTTATCGTTTTATTTCATGTCATAACGATTTTTTCTGCTTTCTCAACCCTTTCTCTCTTGGCTTTATTGGCATTGCTATATTCGACAAAACCCATTTGACCCCCCTCCTCCCCCCAAAAGAAATCAGTCTAATGAATCGACGAAGCTATCTCTCGAGCCGGAGTTCTTGAGTCTTTTTTCTCTTTTTATTTTTTGCTTTACTATTTCCCTCCCTTCACACCTTAAGTACTTTCTTGGAGACCTCGAGGAAATTCGTTGACATGCTTAGTTCGCTGCTTTGTGCGAGAGGGTAATTTGATATGATCAACTGAGTTTATATCGTAAATTGGCCACCGTAAAAAGTTTCAAAGCTGAAGTTTCGAGCGTTAGCCCTTCGGCAGAACGAAGCTTTGTACTAGAGATGGAGGAAAAGTTTAACTGAGGTGACTGATAGGCTATGAAATTTTATGGCCCAGTGCATCTTTCTGTTATGAGAAATAAAAGTTTAAAGTTAGGACAAACTTATCCAATATTCTTAAAAATTGCAGTAATTTACGTGATGAATTTTCATTAAGAGGGTTATCTCCTGGATCAAGTTTGTAACTACTGAAGTGTACAGCTGTTTATTTTCCTTGTGATATTCATAGCCTCAGTCTTTTGGACTGTTACCATTCTTGGATATGTTCAGGATTTAGAACTGGTTTTGCCCTGGCCTTTCCACTGCTTTGCTGTGGTTATTTATCGTGTTGAGAAATTTGAATTTATTGGTGTTGTGATATTTATTTTATGGTTTCCTGAGTAAATGTTTATACTTGTGTTCTAAGACTTCTTTAACCAAGAGGAGTGACATGACACAGTTGTCGAGCTATGTAGAAGGAATGGACTATCAACATCTGACCGTATCTTAGAAATGCTAAACCAAGTGATGGTTACAGTACTAAACACGTTAGACAGTCCCATGGATCCTGTAGTAGCAAGTAAAGTGTGTCTTTAGGAGCTAAACGCGGTCTGCAGTGGCATGAAAGACCAGGAGAAAACCAGTTCTAAATCCTGAAACTATCCAAGAATGGTAACAGTCCATGCAGAAGCTATGAATATCACAAATTTTGTCTACCAGCATATAGATGTTGCCGTTCATTTCTGTGGATTAATTAAGCGTCACCCTGTCACCTTATCAATCGATAGATATTTACCATTGTCAAAAAGAAGAGCTGGAATCAATGCCCTTAAGGGGCTCGTTTGATCAGTAAAGAAAAACAAAGAAATCATTTCTGGTGTCTGTCCCGTCGATCGTGTCGCCT